ACATCTAACCTCGTTACAATATCAAAGCACTGTAAAGTACTTGCTTATAATTTGAAGTCTAGTGAGTTATTCGATATTACATTTAAAGTTAATTTATTTTAAATGTACTAAATGGCAAATTTCATCATTACAAATGTAGGGTTCACTTTATTTTGATGGTCCCTTTAACACATTCTGTTGACTATAAGTAACGTTGCACCTACAGTGCATGTCTACTAACTCTTATTTAGAGTAGAGTATTAGTAGACTGGTAGGGTTATGAATAGAAAATAGAATAGAAATTAAATGAAAGTACATTTTAACCATATTTCAAAGACTATAGAATTAATTATGAAATTACATATATAAAGATGAACTACTACAGATAATTTACACACAAATACATTTAGTTCACACTTATTCTTTGAATTGTGTATTTCTGTAATAACTTCTCTTCTTATTATTTTTCCACTCGCCCTCGATGGGACGCATGTTCCAATACTTCTGTATTCTCTGCTAAACTTTTTATTGGCATATTTCCTTTTTTTTATATACCAGGTCTGTGGTTGTAGGGCATAGGTGAACAGTTCAACCGTTTCTCTTGAAGGAGAGTCGACAGGATTGTCCGATATAATGGTGTGTCGGGCAGAGCAGCACAAGGAGCAAATGGATCTTGGCTTTGGTCACTCAAACAGAACATCTAGATATCTGTGCCTGCTGGAGCTGTCTTCACTGCAAGGAGAGTGCAGGCTATCAGGTGAACACATACTTGACTTCAGTACAGTACATAGTGCATGTTCAAACCATACCAATGCAATAAAAAAAGAAAAAAATTGTGCATTAATCCATCTAAAACGTTCAAAATCATATTAATCAGACATTTTGAAACAAGTCAGTGTCACGGGTCTATGAAGGAGGACTCAAATGCAGAACGAGTGTTAACAGGTTTATTGACAAACAGTAGACAAGATGTGGTGGGAGAGGTGAACAGTCCAGACAAAAGGCAGGGATGAGACACAAAGACAGCCGTTGCAGCAAACTTGCAGAGCAGCAGCTGTAGCTAGCACAAGAAGACTGTAGGCTGGAGAGTAGTGTTTGCAGAGCAGAAAGAGACCTGAGAGTACCAGCAATAGCCAGACAGGAACCTCCAAGGACAACAGCAAGGCACTCAGGGATCTCAGGCTAAGCACCAGGCTTGCACCAAAGCACAGAGTGCAAGCAGCCAGGGACGCTCTGCTAGCAGGACTGGAACTAGAGACTCAGGAGACAAGACAGACAGGACCAATGGCAGAACTAAAGCACTAACAAACTTCTACAAATAAAACACAATAGACTTAGGTAACAAGAAACTAGTTAAGTAGCACAGATGTAAACAGTAGCACAACATTCAACGAACTGGCAACACATGAGGGAAAGAGCACACACATAAAGGGAGTTAACAAGAGTAACAGGTGAGAACACTTAGACAAGGAACAGGTGAACACACTCACGTAAATGAGGACTGAAACAAGGGAGCAGAGAACATGAGGAACAGGTGACAACACTCAGACAAACGAGGACTCAACTAGACAAGAGGGCGTGGTACAGGGAAACAAGGAGGCAGGAACAGAGGAGCACATGGCCAACACAAACACAACCATATGTTCAAGCACAACACAAACATAGAGACATGAAACATAGACAACATAGACAAAGCTGCCAGAGCAAGACCCTGACAGTACCCCCCATCTAATGGACGCCTCCAGGCGTCCAAAACAGGCATAGAAGTCCAAGGAGGCAACAACTGGGGAGGCGGGTGGGGCGTAAACATAGAAGTCCCAAACTGACCAGGAAACACAGAGGGAGGGATGGGGCGGGTGGGAACAGAACCGGGTAAAAAGTTCAAGGCTGACAAAGGAGGTGCCGGCTTAGGGGAACCATAACCAGGAAACGCAGAGGGTGAGACGGGAGGAATGGGAACTTGATAGGAGGTACTCTTGGACACAGGAACTGGCCTAACTGGTCTGGACTTCCAACTGGGCTTGACAGACTTGGGGGCAAAGACACGACTAGCAGGATTGGTGAAGGTCTTGGAATCAGGTACAGGGACTGACTCAGGAGTGCCCTCCTGGGCCGTGCTGGCTTGCTCTGGGACTGACTCATAAGCGCCCTCCTGGGCTGCGCTGGCATGCTCGGGGACTGACTCGTGAGCGCCCTCCTGGGCAGCGCTGGCATGCTCGGGGACTGACTCGTGAGCGCCCTCCTGGGCAGCGCTGGCTTGCTCTGGGACTGACTCGTGAGCGCCCTCCTGGGCAGCGCTGGCTTGCTCTGGGACTGACTCGTGAGCGCCCTCCTGGGCTGCGCTGGCGTTCACAGGGACTGCGCTCTCAGCAGCGGGCTCGGGGACCGCCTTCACAGCAGCGGGCTCGGGGACCGCCCTCACAGCAGCGGGCTCGGGGACCACCCTCACAGCAGCGGGCTCGGGGACCGCCCTCACAGCAGCGGGCTCGGGGACCGCCCTCACAGCAGCGGGCTCGGGGACCGCCCTCACAGCAGCGGGCTCGGGGACCGCCCTCACAGCAGCGGGCTCGGGGACCGCCTTCACAGCAGCGGGCTCGGGGACCGCCTTCACAGCAGCGGGCTCGCATTCTGCAGACTTGACAGGCCTGGCAGAAATGTCTAGGGACTTGACAAGACTTGTAAGACATTCAGAGAAGGCCTCTGCGGCAATGACAACAGGCAGCTTGGGAATGACCTCTGTGAACATGACAGGACTGGGAGAAATTGTCTCTGAGGGAATGACATTACTAGTCAAAGGCTTAGAAAATGGTTCTACTGGAATTGATACCTCATGAACCACTGGACCTGGAGCTTGAGAATGGAGAATTGTAGACTGTTCTGCACAGGCCTTTCTCTTCTTCCTCCTTCGACGGGCTGATACTGTGTGCTGGACAGCCTCTGTAGTATCTACAGCTAACTCAGCCAAACCAGGCAGAATAGCAGTGACCGTCGACTCAGCAGTGACTGAAACAGACCTAGCAGACTCTGAAGTAACAGGAACACTCTGGGTAGTTACTGGGAAAACAGAGGTTAAGTCAGCAGACTCAGAGGTGGCTGGAACTGCCTTAATAGTCTGAGAGATGACAGCGGTTGACTTGACTGGGTCTTGAATAACAGATATTGAAGTGACTGGGACTGACCTGGATCCCTGAGAGATGGCGGTTTGTTTGACTGACTCTGGTGTAGCTGTGGTGGATTGGACTGCCCTATTCCGTCTGAATCTTAGTTCTTTAGTGGAAGCCAGAGGAGGATCATAAATGTGACGAGACAGGCGAGGAAGAGCAGGGTGGTTGTTGAAAGCAGATTCCGGTGGACTGGGCGGCATTCCCCACTTACTGCGATTACCAAGGTACCTAGAGAAACCCCAGAAATCCAGAATCCTGAGAGAATCCATCTCCCATGCAGGCAGGGGGTCATCCAAGCAGGAGTTAAAAATGTCCTTGAGAGCAGCGTCATTATAATCTAGCCCCACAGACATGGTCCAAAAGAATTGGGCAAAACCCCCCACCTCAAAGCCATCCTGGCGAAGAGCAGTGAGACCACGATGACGAGACATTCTCTCCTGGATGTTAGCAGGTGGCAGGATCTTGATGCTCATTCTGCTGAGTCCTGAACTGGCCAGTTCGTTCTGTCATGGGTCTATGAAGGAGGACTCAAATGCAGAACGAGTGTTAACAGGTTTATTGACAAACAGTAGACAAGATGTGGTGGGAGAGGTGAACAGTCCAGACAAAAGGCAGGGATGAGACACAAAGACAGCCGTTGCAGCAAACTTGCAGAGCAGCAGCTGTAGCTAGCACAAGAAGACTGTAGGCTGGAGAGTAGTGTTTGCAGAGCAGAAAGAGACCTGAGAGTACTAGCAATAGCCAGACAGGAACCTCCAAGGACAACAGCAAGGCACTCAGGGATCTCAGGCTAAGCACCAGGCTTGCACCAAAGCACAGAGTGCAAGCAGCCAGGGACGCTCTGCTAGCTAGTGATGTGACATCTGAAGCGAGGCTCCGGAGCTTGTGTCGAGCAAAAAGGGGCGTTCCAGATGAAGCCCCGATTCGAGGCTTGTGTCGTTTCCGTGAAAATCACGTGACGATAACAAACGAGGCCTCGGATTGTGTTGAATACGTCATTGCTTCATTTTGAGTATCGCTTCCGGATAAAAGTGGTTCGAAACCTCGCGCCTCTCGTGGGTTTTGCAGTAGGCGTTTGCATTGGTGTTGAAGTGTTGGTTGTACGAAGTAGTGAGTAGCGAGTTGTAGCGAGTTTGTAGTAGCATAGTTATCATTATATATCATAGCCTGTATTATATATTATATTACATTATACTTAGTTTAGTAGATTATTAGATTATTAGAGTAAAGTATACATAGTTCAGTAGATTATTAGAGTAAATTAGCCTATATCTAGTTCTAGTTGCTATATATATATACATATATTGGTAGTAGTGTTATTATTGTATATATATATATATATATAATATATATATATATATATATATATATATATATATATATATATATATTATTGCTATTATTATTATTCTAAGACTAGACTGTAGGGAAAGCCTTAGAGTGCAAACGTTAAAGGCAAACCTAGAGCCCTTACAATGGAGCCAGCAAGAAAGAGGAGAACTTCTCCTGTCTGGGAGCATTTTGAATTGATTGCTCATAACAAGGTTTGTATACATTTATATAATTTATTATCATAACATCACATAATCCTCACCATATCCCTGTATAATCACAATGTGTATTATCTGCATGTTGAAGGTGAAATGTTTGCTGTGCCATAAAGAGCTGACTTACAGCAACAACACCTCTTCAATGCTTAGGCATTATCGTGCAATGCATGAGGATGCACAACCTGCTGCAAACAGACCAGCCACTAGTCAAAGTAATATTTAATCTTAATTTTTTTATTATGTAAATAATGTGTTAGGCTCCTACAATACACCAGCATTGTACTGTGTTATAGATTACAGAAAGAAAATGGTGGATGAGGCTTTGGTCAACATGGTCATCAAAGACTCCCAACCCTTTTCTGTTGTGGATGACGTGGGGTTTAGGGAGCTTGTGCATGTGCTGGATCCATCCTATGTTCTCCCAACAAGAAAGGTATGTATGTGAATAGACTAAAGTAGTTTATTGTTATAAAGTCAGAATGAATAGTAACAATTAATATTTTCATTCTCAGGCTTTGAAGTCCATGGTTGACACCCGGTATGAGGAGGCTAAGGAGAAGGCCAAAGAAAAATTGGACAATGTTGTTGCTGTTAGCCTTACGTCCGACATGTGGACGTCCATCAACATGGAGGCTTACCTGGCTGTGACTTGTCATTTTATTGATGCCAATGACCAGCTTGGGACAATCTTGCTTGGGGTGCAACATTTCCCAAACACCCATACGGCAGACAACTTGGCTATTGCCCATACCATGGCCATGGAGGAGTGGGGCATAAAGGATAAGGTGAGGTGCCTTGTCACGGATGCTGCTGCCAATATGATTGCCTGTGTGAGGGCATTGAATATTAGGCATGCGATATGCATTGCACATGCATTGAATTTAATTGTCAAGAAGTCTTTCGATGATGTGCCAGGCTTAAATGAGCTTCGCACCAAATGTAGGAAGCTTGTAACCTACTTCAGGACCAGCACAACAGGAAAAGAAAGACTGGCCCAAGTGCAGGTGCAGATGGGGAGGCCTGCTCTGAAAATGATTATTGAGGTGGACACTAGATGGAACAGCACTTACAGCATGCTGGAAAGGCTCTATGACCTGAGAGAGCCAGTGGGGGCAGCTCTAGCCTCTTTGAGGACAGATGTAAGCCCTCCTACTTCATTGGAGTATGAAACAATGAAGGATGCTCTCGACCTACTGGCCCCATTCCACCAGGCCACAGTAGAGCTTTCTGCAGAAAAAAGAGTGTCTGCTTCAAAGGTTATTCCCCTAATGAAGATGCTGAACCACACAATAGTAAGAAAATCCGAGGGCTTAACATCAAATATGGCAAGGCAGCTGGCTGACAACCTTGTCCGTCGCGTCAGAGAGCATGCATTACAAATGGAATCCATTAGTGTGATGACGATGCCTACATTGCTGGACCCTAGGTTCAAAAAACTAGGGTTCCTAAGTCCAGGGAAGCTCCAAGAAGCCATTACAAGACTAAAGTCAGAATGTGCCAATGTTATCAGAAATTCTGAAACAACACCCCCAGCTCAAGTACCTGCCTCACAAGCTGGGCCATCTACAACCTGTGGTAAGTAGTCTATGTCTTATGTGAATTTTCACATTTGTAATGTCATGTAATGTGAACCATTGAGAAGTGAGTGTTTTCCCTTGTATAATTATAGGTGACCTTTGGCATCTACTGGACAGCACAGTGGATAACAGCAGACGGAGCTCCAGTGTGACCGCAGATGCTACTATTGAGGTGGACCGTTATTTGTCAGAGACAAATCTGGCAAGGACTGAGGATCCGCTGGGTTATTGGAACAAACAGAAGCTCCAACATCCCAATTTATATAAGCTGGCACTTACGTTCTTATGTTGTCCGGCATCATCGGTGCCCTGTGAAAGGGTGTTTTCTAAGGCTGGAGAGGTGGTTTCCAAAAAGAGAAACCGCCTCAATCCAAATACTGTAAAAAAACTTTTGTTTTTAAATAAAAATCAGTAAAAATGTTCCCATCCCTGTTGCAGTTTGCTGTTCCACTCCCAGTTCCATAAGCACTACATAATTGTACTCCCAGTTCCATAATCACTACACTATTGCACTCAGTCAGCACTGCACTCAGTGATTTCTTGACACTCATTTGGGGCATTCACTGTCATCACTAACCCAAAGAACTACTGAATACAAAGTTATGTGTGTGTGAGTTGTGTGTGCATAGGTAAACACAAGCAGAGTAAAAAACTTTATTTAATACACAGGCAATAGAAAAAGGGTGTGCCCACACCATGACAATTTGGTTGCTCAGGATGAATAGATTTGTGTGCGATACATTGCTTTGCACAGCAGGTGTCACTAGGGAGCACACTGTTTCATGAGGCTTCAGGTAAACGAACCTTTTGGTGAACCAATGGGCTGGAAAGCCTCAGTGGTTCAGGAAGCCTCATTTGGCCATCACTACTGCTAGCAGGACTGGAACTAGAGACTCAGGAGAAAAGACAGACAGGACCAATGGCAGAACTAAAGCACTAACAAACTTCTACAAATAAAACACAATAGACTTAGGTAACAAGAAACTAGTTAAGTAGCACAGATGTAAACAGTAGCACAACATTCAACGAACTGGCAACACATGAGGGAAAGAGCACACACATAAAGGGAGTTAACAAGAGTAACAGGTGAGAACACTTAGACAAGGAACAGGTGAACACACTCACGTAAATGAGGACTGAAACAAGGGAGCAGAGAACATGAGGAACAGGTGACAACACTCAGACAAACGAGGACTCAACTAGACAAGAGGGCGTGGTACAGGGAAACAAGGAGGCAGGAACAGAGGAGCACATGGCCAACACAAACACAACCATATGTTCAAGCACAACACAAACATAGAGACATGAAACATAGACAACATAGACAAAGCTGCCAGAGCAAGACCCTGACAGTCAGCTGTATGCTAAGACACAAATAACCCTTTTTAGAAGCAGAATGTCAAATAGATAAGATATTGCCAATTTATATTAATCATCGTTCTAGAGCAATTATGGATTACACCTTATTTTTGTTACAGTGTAATTATTAATTTAAGAATTTAGTCATATTAATTAAAGGCACATTATGTAAAGTTTTTGTTCAACATTAACTAAATTTAAATTCATAATTAATCCTCCTTTTAAATCGTGTTTTTTTGTTTTACCCTGATTCATAAGCCTAATAAGTGTTTATATTTTAGACGTGACGGGACCGTTTTCATGGAGAAAAACCGCACATACGTCACTCGCCCGTGTGTGTCTCATCATATCCGTAAATAGAGTAAAGTTGATCGGGCTGCTTTGACGTGCATGTGTGTGTGTGTGTGGAACAGAGGAGAGTCTGCTGGAGTAAAGCCAGCGGCTGAGCCCGCAACCATGTCACCCTGTAGCCCAAGACTGGTTGCCCACTGAAGCTGAGCAGGGTTGAGTTTGGTCAGTACCTGGATGGGGGACTCCTGAGAAAACCAGGTTGCTGCTGGAAGAGGTGTTAGTGAGGCCACTAGGGGGCGCTGGTCACCCTGTGGTCTGTGTGGGTCCTAACGCCCCAGTGTAGTGATGGGGACACTACACTGTAACAAGCACCGTCCTTCGGATGAGACGTAAAAGTCGTAAAAGGTCCTGACTCTCTGTGGTCACAAAAAAAAACAAGGATGTCTCGAAACGAGTAGGGGTGTAACCCCGGCATCCTGGCCACGTTTGCCCAGTGGCCTCTGTCCATCATGGCCTCCTAATCATCCCCATATACTGATTGGCTTCATCACTCTGTCTCCTCTCCACCAGTAAGCTGGTGTGTGGTGGGCGTTCTGGCGCAATATGGCTCCCGTCGCATCATCCAGGTGGATGCTGCACATTGGTGGTGGTTGAGGAGATTCCCCCTTCCATGTAAAGCGCTTTGAGTGCAGAGAAAAGCGCTTTATAAATGTAATGAATTATTATTATTATTATTAAAAGAGAACGAGACAGAGCTGGTAATAGAACAAGAATCAACATCAGCTTGGCTTTAGGAGACGGAGAGAATTGAGGGGTTTGAAGTCTTGTAAAATCAAGGTGGAGACGATGTGTTTTATTGAACAGAGAAACTGTCATATGTGTCTCTTACAGAGTTCACTGTAAAGCTTTATGTATTGTAAAGATCATTCCATTATGGTTGTTGTGCTGGAGTTTATTCTCAAGGAAGTATTGTGTTTATTAATGTGTAAAACTACAGTAACGTCTTCAGCTAGTCAGTTCTCTTTCTAACATTCGTTCGGTATCTCACTATGGGAACGCCTCTGGGCGTGTCCGATCGCGGAAGCACCAATTACACCACGTCTGCCAACTATGGCAGACCAATCGCTGCAGCGATCAGGGAGTCCCGGCTCCCTGTATATAAACGCAGCTACCTGCCGTTTCGTCATTCTCGCTCTCTTCCCCGTGGAAGATTTCGGAAGCTGTCCTCAGCAGACTTTGGGAATTATTTGCTTAACAGTTTTCAGACGGAGCCGACAGGTAACGTCCCAAACGCTATATTTCCTTAGGTCGTTGAGTGACTTCGTCACTTAAGAGTACGATAACTAACGTGTCAAGACGAGTTTTCTTGCTCTTAAGTCCTCTATCTTTTTCCAAGTTTTTCTGGGCGCTTACCACGCACCAAAAGGACAAGGAAAACGACAGCTCTCTAATCGCAGCACAGCTCCGTACCAGTTGTCACGTTGGGTAAGAACTCACCGTACGAAGAGAGTGCTAGCCCCATCATGGCCACTGCGATAGAACCGGAGAGCCCTGGAGGGAAAGGTCGCCCTCCACATCCGTGTGCTTGTGGAATGTGGATTTCTGCTAAGGATGCACACGGCCTCTGCATCTCCTGTCTGGGCGCTAAACACGCGCAGGCAGCGCTGTCCAACCCCGAGGGATGCCCGCACTGTGCTACGTTCTCGATTAAGACCCGAGAAAGAAGGCTCCGCGTGGCAGTCGGTGGAAAATCGGACCCATGCCTCTCTGCTCAACCCAGAGAGGAACCCATGGACTGTCCCCGGACCACCACCTCATGGGCAGAGATGATGGAGAAGGTTTCTCCCGTCCTTCCCCCGCTGTTCGATGATCCGTTAGCGGGTGAGGAAGATGACGATGATGAAGTGTTGTCGAACATCCTCGAGGACGACGACGGCGAAGATGCCATTCTTCCCCCGAACCAGTCCAAGCCGCCGAGTGCACAGGATGAGAGTTCACCCTCCCCTGTACAGACGGATTCGGATCTAATCGAGGTCTGTCGCAGGGCCGCGGCTAGATTATCGATCGACTGGCCATCCCAACAGACAGGTCAAGGGGCTGAAAGAGACCTGTACGATGGAAAGAGACTTCCGTCACGTCTCCCGCCAGCAAGGCAGTTCATTCCGGCCGTCCCGGCCTGTGTGACGGAGATGAAGAAGTTTTGGGACAAGCCTTTTTCTCATCGAGTGCCCGTCAAGGGTTTCTCGAGGCTTGATGTTCAGGGAATGGAGGATCTAGGGATGGCGGATCCTCCCCCGGTGGAAACTTCAGTGGCAAATCACTTGCACCCGGGCCGCAGGGCGGCGCTCTCTTCAACCGGAGCGTCGCTGCCAGGGAAAACAGAGCGCTTCGCCGCCTCTGTTTTTCAGAAGATCTATAAATCAACTGCACTGTCCGTCCGTGCTTTGAACGCGACGTCCCTCCTAACAGCCTATCAAGCGGAGCTTTTAGAGGAGATGGGTCGTCAGCTGGATTCCGGATCTCCCAACCCAGTGCTCTGGGAGGAGATATGCGTCATCGCAGATTTGAACCTGCGCACGTCCCGCGGAGCAGTTCAAAGTTGCGGACGGAGTATGGGCTTAGCAGTAGTGGGTGAGAGATCGCTGTGGCTGGGCTTGTCAGGGCTCTCTGACAAAGAGAAGGCAGAGTTTCTGGATGCTCCGATAGATCCAAAAGCCATGTTCGGCGCGACAGTAACGGCGATGCGGCAGCAGTGTGACCTGCGAAAGAAGGAGGGAGAAGCTTTCCAGGTCTGTCTCCCCAGAAAGCCGGCGGCTCGGCCTTATCACCCGAACCGGTCGAATTTCAGACCGTCAGGCAGAGGAGGGCACCCAGATTATCAGCCTTCCCGCTCTGCCCCACCACAACAGCCGAGCAACACGGCCCCACAACCTAAACCAGGTTTCGTTAGACCTAAACAGTCTTTCGAGGCCGCAGCAGCGAAACACCGATCGCCCGCCCCCCAGGGGAACAAGAAGAGGCGGTCGACCTGATACGTCAGTTCTGCATCAGGAAGGGTTGGGAGACAGCACCCAGGGTTTCTCTGTCCCATCCCTTCAGAACAATTCCTCTCTCCCTCCCGCGGGGAAAAGGAGAAGGTTTTCAGAGGTGAAAAGTGTTTGTGTGGACAGTTCAGAGTCCAATGTGTGCGGGAATGTGGCCACCGTTCTGCGAGTGCCCCCCAAGAGATCATCTCCCCCTCCACCTTCGAGGTCTGTTACAGGGGAAGAAGGTCTAACGTTCACAAGCAGTTGTTTAAAAATAAATTTTCCTCTGACGCATCCAGGTCTAAGACCGAGGGCGCAGAATGTGAAAAAAAGAGAAAAAGTTCACAAGAGAATAAAACAATCACAAATAAAGACCAATATAACTCCGTCACTGGAGCGGTCTTCCCCCCCTCTGCCGCTAGAGTGTGCTGCGGCACCTCTAGTGAGCGAAGACGGGAAGGGCCCACTCGCTGCTCAGACGGTGAACTGGCGCGCATGCGCAGTTCATCCCTGGGTATTAACCACTGTAGAGAGGGGATACAGGCTTCAATTCGCTGTAAAACCTCCTCTGTTCAACGGAGTGGTAATTTCAGTGGCCAAAGGGGAAGCAGCTCTGGTTTTAGAGGAAGAAATAACCTCTTTAATGAGAAAGGGAGTTATAAGAGTGATTCCAACGGAAGAGAGCCACAAGGGTTTCTACTCCCGTTATTTTGTGATTCCCAAGAGAGGGGGAGGTCTCCGTCCCA